AGGTGCGGATGAACAGCAGCAACCGCCATCTTCACGTAGAGGCCATTTTACTTTTCCAAAACGATGCCTCTCACCCCTCTCTCTGGCCTGCGTGCCGGGCCGGGCGGCCGGCACTGTGTGCGCCGCAGGCAGGGGTGAGCGTGGCCCCTCCCTCCGCCCTGGACCTTCGTCAGGATTCCTCCCGGGGCCTGGACCCTGGACCCCTGGACGGTGTGAATTCTGTCGAGTCCTCCCCTGCCCGCCGAGATGACATGGCGGCGGCGTGTCCCCGCCGTCCCTCTGGGATATCCGGTCGGAGCCGCGGGTGTGTCTCGGGAATAAGGCCCCCCCGTGGGCGGTGACCGGCCCCCTGGCCGTGCGGCCGAGCCGGGGGCGCTGTGATCGCGTGGAGGCGGCCTGCGCTTTGCGAACAGCATCCTCCTCTGGTCTCACGAAGGGAGCCTGGGGGGGCCCCCTCCTGGCGCTCACGCTCCTGAGCGTCTGATGGCCGTCGCCTGGGGGACGGCCTGGCCGTTCCATCGCCTGGCGCTGCGCTGGGTCTGCTCGGGGCCCCTGAGCCCAGGGGTGGCCCGTCGGACCCGGGCTGCCCCACTTGGGGGCGTTAACTCACAGCAGCAGCGCCTTAGAGCCTATGTATGTCCAGGCATCAGTTCTGATATTTTTAGTTTAAAGATGTATCCATCTTGGTAATCTTTTTGGTAAAAAAAAACGAAACAAAACAAAAACACAGCTTAGCCCTGGCCGGTGTGGCTCAGTGGATAGAGTGTTGGCCTGTGGACTGAAGGGTGCACACCCGGGTTGTGGGGTCGATCCCCAGTAGGGGGTGTGCAGGCCACCGGGGGGGTGGAGGGGGGTGAGGGGAGGCGTGAGGCACGGAGCCATGACGGTGCCGGGTGTAACCCACAGACCAAAACAGGCCCCTGCTGCACAGTCACAGCAAGCAGGGTGGGGGGGCGGGCGGGGAGGGGGGACGGCCGACGAGTAAACGTCGGGGAGCCGTGGCGATGGCAGTCAGCGCTGCCGACGAGATGCTGTCCCGCGGGGGTGAGCGTGCGGGGACCTGTCCGTCTCAGCCAGTCCCCGAGGCTCGTCAGGCGCCCGGGGAGGCGGTCACTCGGGGGAGGAGCCCAGTGGACACAGGGAGCCACGGGGCCTGAGGCCTCGGCACCACGGGCCCGGTGCACCCAGCACCCAGCAGCCCGTTCCATCCCGGGAGCCCCCGGCACAGCCCTCTGCCCGCCCAGGGGCCCAGGACGGCTGGGCCCGCGGGGCAGGGAGGCCCCGGGTGTTGCTGCTGGTGCTGAGGGCCCGGGAGGGTGAGGTGACGCTGATGTGTAAACCCTTATTTTCCCCGTGTTTTTGTTTTATTCATTTAGAAGGGGTGCAGGGGGCGGGCAGGGCGACACAGGAAGCAGTTGGTGAGCTGTGAGAGGAGGGCCGAGGCCAGGGCCGAGGGGGGCGGGCCCGGGGGGCAGCCTGCTCACCCGCTGCCTGGTGGCCCCCAGTCTCCCCCACCCCCGAGCCCCTGCCGGGTGGGGGCGCCGCTGTGGCACCCCTACCCGTGGGAGGAGAGGAACAGCGAGTGGCCGGGGCCCCAGAAGTCACTCTCCTGGCTGACGGCTTAGGAACGGGGGCTCTGAGTAGCTGCAGGTGGGGTTCAGGGTTCGAGTGCCTCTAGCCACAGGGCTCAACCAGCTTTCAAACCCCCCAGCCCCACGGCAGCCGGCAGGGACACAGCAGGGAGGGGGAGCTGTGCTGAGGGACAGGAAAGGTGCGGGGAGGCTGGTACACAGAGGGGAGGCCCTGCACCCCCAGCCTGGGACGGGACGGCCTCCTGAGGAGCTGCCCCGGCCCCGGCTGTGCTGGGTGCGCATTGGGGGTAAAACCACTGAGATGAGAGGGATCTCACCCCCCCACCCCCCGCCCGCAGTCAGGCCCGGAACTGCAGGCGGCAGGTGAGCGGTGGCTGCGGCAGGAAGGCCTCGGGGCAGGGGCCAGCCTGGGGACCGCAGGACGGGGACAGGGACAGCGGGACAGGGACAGGGACAGCAGGATCAGGACAGGGACAGCGGGACAGGGACAGACAGCGGGGACAGGAGGAGCCGGGACCCGGACGGTGGTGTGTGCATGCATGCGTGCATGAGACACAGTTACCACAGCCTCAGCAGCCGCGCCGTTTGGTAAAAAGTTCACTATCAGTTTATTGTTGGAAGAAAAGACACGCCAGGGAAGAGGATTAACTTATTTTTCATCTCGAGGGTGGCAACAAAGTCCAGCTTGTGCCGCCAAACGGTTCACATGACCCAACCGTGTACAGCTCCGTGTGCACAGACTACAAACAGGTAGCAAAGACACAGATCTCGTACAAAAGCCGGCGTAAACAGAGCGGAGCGAGGGGAGTCTACAGAGGAGGACGGCGCTGCGTTTGTCAATCCCTTTTCACTCTCGTCCCGGGCTCCCCGCTCCCCGGTGTCTCGTGCGGAAATCGGACGGATGCTCGGGTGGTTGTGGGGGGGATAATGGTGAAACGTTCCTTTAGAACAAACCCTGATTTAGTCTCTAATGCAGGGGACGTGCGAGAGCCCGAGATGGTGTTTGGGGGGGCCGTGTGGTGGGGGCCTCGCCCTCCCGGGGGGCCCTGAGGGAGGGACAGCGCAGTGCCATGCACGCTGCGCTCTGTCTGTGTTTGGAGTGAAAGATCAGGGAAGGGGAGGCGCATTTTCGTGATGGTGATGGGGTCGTACAAAACCCGCGCGTCTGGAAGGTGAGAAATGGAGGTGCTGGCGACCCCGCTAGTGTCCCGCCCAGCCGGGGTGGCGCCCGCCAGGAGGCGTGTTTGTGCGTGGCGTCATGGGGGGAGTGGCATGTGCCCCCGGTCATGCGTGTGGGCGAGGGGTAACAGTCTAGCTTCAGCTCCTGGAAGCCCGGCCCCGCGCTCCCGGTCGGAGTGGGTGCGGGGGTGGGGGTGGCGCTGTCGGGACAGCGGGTGCTGTCAGAACCTGCATAGGAGGGAGGACTGTCGTCCAGTCGGAAAGCCGTCTCGTAAGGCACACAGACAGGGAGGGGCACCCATCCCAGGTGCGGCAGGCGGCCACGGGCACGCGGAGCGGAGGGGGGCCACGGCCCGCCCTGGGGGTGCAGGGGGAGGCTCCCCTGGGACCTCGGGGGCGGGGGGGGGGGGAGGAGAGGGGAGGCCTGTCTGGTCTCCATTGGCGCCGTTGGGGCCGGGCCTGTGAGGGAGCAGTCAGGACGGTGAGGACGTGTTATGGGAAAAGGAATCCTTTCCCGTGAGCCCTGTGTGTAGAGGGAGCCTCGCTCCCTCTTTGGCCTCGGTCAAGGTCAAGACCGAGTGGACTCGGGAGGCCAGAGAGCCCGGCGCACGCCGGGGGATAAACAAAACGCAGTACAAACTCGGCAGCTGCTCCTAGCAAAGGTAAAGTAGAAAATAGCAGCATGTTTGAACCCTCCCTTGGAGTTTCTCAGGAGAAGCCGTATTTAAAACACGGGTAGACATACATCCTTTACAGGGCATGGAGTTTTCATGGCAGCACCCCGGGAGGTGAGCCTGGGACCCCCACTCCCTCCGGTGAGGTAAGGCTGTGGCGGGTCCCCCCAGGAGTGGCGTCGCCATGACCAGCCACGTCATGCCACTCGAGAGGGTCCCGGGAAAAGACCCCGCCCCCCGGGCGCCTCCCTCCCGTGTCCCACGTGGGGCACCTTTGGGCACACCTAGTTTGCCATTTTCTCTGCCAGTCAGGTCAGCTTTTTCCACTACATTTTTTTCCTCACAAAAGGCAAGTTTTCAAGGCTGCCTTGTAAATCTTGTTACAGCACATTATTTATGCAGGATGAACTTAACACCAGTTTTTTTTTTTTGCCACTTTGCTATTTATGTACACGTATAAAATAGAGAAGGATGCTTACCCCACACAGCACACACACCACCGGGAGGGACACCCGCACAGTCCCGCAGAGACTGGCTGGTAATTCATACCCAAAGTCCAGGATATTAACAAAATAGGAAATATCAAACAGTGAGTACTCTACTCAAGGATCGCGCCTTTCCCCCAAACTGGCGGCAAATCCACAAAAATAGACTTTTTAATCTGGTGGCCATACAATACATACGTACTTACATCGAAGGTGATAATATATTTAAGATGCTATGTACAGAAAGTTTGGCTCAACTTTTAATTTATATATAGCATAATAAGTGTTCATGGCTTTTTTTCCCCCCCAAGGTTCTGTTTGCAAGATATTTTCCCCCCTTTAGAATAAAACTTAAAAAGTTAAAAACAAGATAATAAAGCTATTCTCTAAAAAAAAAAAAAAAAAAAAATTAAACATACAGCTTTGGCTTATATAAATAATTCATAGCAGAATGTTTTCAAAAGTAGTGAATAATTTTATATATAGTCATCAATTCATAAGGGCGTTCTCTCTCATATAAAATATACAGAGCTAAAATCCGTCTCTTTAACGTCAGGGAGCGGCGGTAAAAAGGACTCCGCCCTGTCCCTCTGATAACTTAATATATTACTTTGCTGGGTCGGCTCTGCCTCTAGGCGGGGGCGCGGGGCCTCATGCGGCTGCTAGCCTCTCACTGCGGTCGCTTCTCGGCCCGTGGCTGTGTGTGCAACACGTGCGGCGGCCCCCGCAGGCCATGCGGGAGTGGCGCTATGTACAGTATTGCTTCCTGGTCCCGCGCGCTCCGTCTACAAAGCGGTTCCGGGGGGACCCGGCCTGCGGCCACGCGTTTCTCTGCAAAACCCGCTTCGGAAACGGGGCCGGGGCGCCGGGCGGCTGCCCACGGGCCACGTCTGCAGACGGACAGGCCGGCAGGGAGGGCCCGATTCTGTGTCTGCCACCCACACACACGCACACCGCATACATACATACGTGACGGACAGACATGTACGTGTGTACATATAAATAGCGTTACCTCCTGTCCTGACCCTGCGGGCGGGGCAGTGCTCTGCGGTCGCACGGCCGCCCGGGGCCTAGGTCACCCACGTGTCCATGCGCATGCGCTTCCCGGACGGGCTCTCTCTGTCCTCGGGGTTGGGGGGCCGGCCCAGCGCCACCGGGGAGAGGAAGTCCCCCCGCGGGTCCTCCCGGTCGCTGCCGTCGTAGGAGCTGCTGGAGCTGCTCAGGCTGTCCACGGGGGAGCGCCCCACTTCCTGCCGGGGCTGCGCGGGGGGCTGGGCGGGCGGCGGCGGCTGCTGCTGGAAGCCCGAGGGCGTCACGCGGTCCCGAGGCGGCGAGACAGGCTCCGACTTGATGCTGACGTTCTGGTTGGTGACGGAGAGGCTGGAACCCTGAGAGAGCTGCGCGCCGGACCTGCAGGGACGGGGGGTCAGCGGTCCTGGGCGTGCGGCCCCCAGGGTAAGCCCACCGCCCGCAGGGAAGGAGCCCAAGGCCGCTGCGGCCTGAGGGGCTAATGTGCCCCACGGACTATGTGTCCAGGCCACGCGGGAGGAACAGCCCGGGCCCTCTCCCCTGAGCAGCCTCAGGAAGGGGAGGCCGCCCAGACTGCAGGGCTATTCCTAGGTGTCCCTCCGGCAGGCACAGCGCAGGCCCGGGGCCACGGAGGGGTCTGCTACGCCACCCCAGCTGCTCCTTCTGTGCGCCATGTCTGCTCCCCTGGCAGCCTGTCGCCTTCCAGCGGGGGGAGTGGTCTGAGAGGTGCTTGTGTGACTGTCTGTCCTCACAGCTGACGGACCTGCCCACGAGCAGGCTCTCTTGGTGAGACTTCCTGTGTGTGTGTGTGTGGGGGGGGGGGGTGTCTGCTTGACACCCGCCCTCTCATCTGCCCCTGGGACCACGAGCCCAGGCCTGTCTGTGGTGGAGGGAGGAGGTGGCGAAGGGCGTCAGACACGGGAGGTGGGGGGGTGGCGCCCTGTCCCCCAGAGCACAGCCTGGCCGCCTGAACCTCCTCACGGAGCGCCCCGTGCGCCCCGCCTCCCAGCCCGTACGGATTCTCCTCCGAACCCTGGCTGGCTGACCACTGGGCGGGAGGACGGAGGCCAGGGAGCAGGGGCGGCGGGTACTCACACCAGGGAGCTGAGGGCGGCCGGGCCCAGGTGGTGCTGCTGCCAGGCGGACACGGGGCCCAGGGACAGCATGCCCGGCGAGTTGAAGCCCTGCAGGGCCGACAGGTCCGCGCTGGTCAGCGAGTAGTCTGCAAGAGAGGGCGCTGGTGGGCGCAGTGGTCCGGGACACGGGGGCTTACCGGCCTCGCTGCTTCCAGGATCCGGGGTCGTGTCAGTAAGGAAGGAGCTCCCGTGTTTGCCAAATGGTCAGTTTATAACGTCACAAAAAGTGGAGATGCTTGTCAATCGCCCACGGCTGTTGCTAGGCAACTTATTTTAAACGCTCCCTCCCTGTCCTTCCCGCCACTGGCATCCTAAACACAGACACTCCAGCTCCTGCACACGGCCAGCTCCCTGGGCAGCCACACGTCGCTGCACAGCTCGCCCCTCCGCTGCGGGCTGCCATCACCCTCAAGGGCAAGCGCACAGCTCCCGCTTCCCCTCTGACAGCCACGCCGCCCACCCCCGCTGGACTGTCCTCTGCCATGTCCGCGCCTCACCTCCTCCTTACCCAGCGGCTCACCTCGCTGCTCCAGCCCAACCCGGGGTCACCCTTGACCCTTCTCTCCCAAGTCCCGGCACTGCCCTGGCCCATGTGGCCCTGCTCCGCCTGCCCCCTCCCCCCCCCACACACACACACAGTGACCACACAGCGAGGACACCTCCCTGCGGGGAGCCCCACGGCCCAGCGCCCTCCGGCCTGGCTCACGCTCGCCTTCAGCCAGAGCGGGCGGAACGATGGTAACGGCCGTTCCCCCATGGACCCTCTATTCCCGTTCCCCACGCCCTCTTCCAGGCGAGGGACACTCGGTGCCTGTGCTCCACCGCCGGCCCCAGGTCAGCCCAGCTCCTCTGCCCACCCTCACCCGCCGGCCTGCAGTGCCAGCACAGGCTGTGCCGCCTCGCTCGGCACCCAGAGCTGGTGAGCCCCTCTCCCGCCCACACTGGGACCCGCAGAGCCGTTTCCCAGCCCCACCGTTTCAAGCGGCTTCTGTGCTAAGAAGCCAGCAGCCATCGAGGGCGGCTCCTACGTGAGTCTCAGCAGCTGGCAGGCGTGTACGTCCATAAACGTGTTTCACAGTCACAGACGCACAGGTGGTGACAAAGCGAAGGCGTGCGCCACTTACCCGTGTTGTAGGCGGTGGGCATGGCCGAGTACACGAGCCCCTGCGGGGGCAGGCTGGGCGTCGTCACGGACACCACGGGGGTGGCGAGGGGCTGGGAGGCCTGCGAGCTGCCGATCCGCTGCGCGCTCTGCGGGGGGAGAGGGGGGGGGGGGGCGTCAAGAGGACAGGCTTTGCAGCGATGGTTCAGGCCCCTCGCCTCTCACCCAGGGCTGCTGGCTGCCGGCCTGGCACCGTGAGCGACGCCGTGTGAGCACCGGGGAGGCCGGCCCCTCCCCGCCAGGCCTGGGCTCCTGCAGCCGGAGTGCGGTATGTTGCAGGTCTATGGCCCGAACATGGGTCTCTCGCTAAGGACCCAATCTCAGCTCTCTCTTCCTGGTCTGTATTTCCTGTATGACCTTCAGGCAGAGGATGTGGGTCCACTGCCCGGGTTTGGTCCCAGACCCAGCAGCTCACAAGCACCGGGGAGCCATTCCCTCCCCAGCAGAACCTGTGGTCCGAGGTTCCACAGGACTGGGGTCCGGAGCCAGCCCCGGCCCTCAGGAGGTACAGCCGGCCTAGAATTGGGGTGTTGGGCCTGCCTCCAGAACACCTCCTTCCTCACTTTGGGTCAGAGCCATCATCATTCTATCCCAAGTGCACACTACATTCCAACACATGGTGTTTGGCGCTGTGACTTCCAGAACCACTAGGGGGCGACGTATTCCTGGCTAATCCACAAAGACACATTCATGACATCAACTTCAGGGTAAACAGTGACATCTAGTCTAACATAAGTTATTTTATCTCGAATTGTAAACTTCCATTTGTAATCATTACTGTATCATTAAGTATTTTCCCGATAGTCCAAATCTGCACGTAACATAATCCGACACAGTGACAGCTAACGAGTAGATGGAAGTTAACCAATACAAACCACATCCAAATCTGGATACGAGCAGTCACCAAGTTCAATAAAGAATGAGCCCTTGTTTTAAAATAAACTAATTGTGCAAAACACACCAGCATGCACACACAACCCTCCCCCATACACACACACACACACACGTGTGTGTAAATAAAACCAAGAGATGGCACTCCACATGCATTCATGCAGACCCCGTCTGCTAAAAATGAAACATTTTCAATACTTCATTCCCCTTAAAGTCCTAATTAGCAGCTGATTTTGAATTTGATCACTTCTGTGAGGTTTGAGTTTTAGTTTGCAAAGAAAAAAACCTCAGCTGAAAGTTATTTTTAATCCAACTTAATTTCTAGAAGAAAAGCCAATAGAAATCATGTTTTGGATATTAACAGCTACGTTTTTGAGAACGAAAAGTCTGATAGAAACCAGTAAGTCTGTCTGTGGCCACTGATGGGGGTCCCTGCTGGCACACGGAGCCTCTTAGGGGTGCAGACAGCTCCGTGCGCCACGGAGCGAGCCAGCTCTGCAGAAGGTGACCTCACCAGCAATGACGTCACCATCTTGAGAAATAACACGCCATGTGCCACACCATAAGGGTGAGGTCATCTTCTAAGAATATGCCAGGCGTTTGCATCTTTCCTTAAAAGCTGGGACAGCTGTCTCTGGTCATGGACAGCTACTGTGCATTCCAATGTGCCCTCCAGCGAACAGAAGGGATCAGTGACAGGTAAACCAGACGCCCATGCCAGTAGGCTGGCTTCGTTATTCAGTGTTTCTAGTGTTTGATAACAAGAAGAAATCTGTGTAGCAAAGGGAACACTGGTTGTTAAGCATCGAGTTAGTACTCTCCACATCTCTTCACGTCACTGTGACAGATACCCCACTCACCAGCTCCAACTCCTCTTCCTCCGACTGCCCGCGGCACAGAGAGGGAAAGAGAGGCATTAGCGGCGGACACGGGGTGCAGGACACCCCAGAGATCTGCACACAGGGCCACACAGGTGCCTTACTGTCTGCGCTGTGGCCGCCCCTGCCCCTAAGAGGCTCTAAGGCCTGTCTCCCCAGCTCCGCCCACCCTCTCGCTGCACCGGCCGCAGGGGTTCAGTGGCGTCTCCAGATGAAAAGTCCTTTGCTTAGGACAGTGGTCAGCGATCTGTGACTCAAGAGCCACACGCGGCTCTTTGGCCCCTTGAGGGTGGCTCGGCGTTAGAACCCCTTCTTCAAAACAGACTCGCCCAGGCCGACAACCCACTTCTGCGCGTGGGCCACGAAGCTTCAATCCCACTGTACGTGCCACCCGCACGGGGTGTTTTGTGGAAGAGCCACGCTCCAGGGCCAGAGAGCCGCATGTGGCTTGTGCACCGCAGTTTGCCGACCATTCCTTTAGGGCTCCACATCTGGGGCTGATGCACAGGACATGGGGGAGCCCTGGTGCCCACTGCACAGTACCTGCCTGGCCCTGACAGCATCTCCCTTACCAAGCTCAGACAGGTGAGCCCGCGCTGCCCGCCCAGAGGCACACGAGGCTGGGAAGCTGTGGGCTGGGAAGCTGCGTGAGGGTGTCTACAGGCCACGGCAGGCGCCGCTCTGCTCCCAGCCACAGGCCGCCAGACACGGCCAGCAGCCAGGCCAGAGACTGTATTCTTACAGACTCACAGGGGAAGGTTTCTGAGGAATAAAAAACTTACTTGCAAAATAACTCATTCGCGTTTTTAAGCATTCTTCCGTGGTGTGCAGGGTTTTCTAACAGAGAACAGCGCTTCCTCACAGAAAGCAGGCCCAGAGGAGAAAGAACCTCTCCCTGTTCAGCTTTCATTTTAAATAACCTCTTTGGTTCTCCAGACTCTGATTTCTGTGTATGCTCACTTCCCATGGACATAATCGTTAGGAACAGGTTAAGTTCTAGGAAGTACGAACATTTCAAAAGAAAATAGAGACCGCCCAGGCCCATACGGCTCAGTGACCGAGCGTCCACCTAGGAACCCGGAGGTCAGGGTTCCAGTCCCTGGTGGCAGGCTCCATCCCCAGTAGGGGGCGTGCAGGAGGCCGCCTATCAGTGATTCTCAGCATGGATGTTTCTCCCTCTCTACCCCTCTCCCTTCCTCTCTGACATCAATAAAAACATACGTTACAAAAGGAAACAGCCCGGAGTGTGTAGGACGCGCGCTTGGAGGAAGGACACGAGGAAGGTGACGTACCAGGGGGGGCATCATGCCCTTGCTGGACGGAGGGATGACAACGCGCAGGTCCGGCTTCCGGCTGTTCATGCCCAGGCTGCCGCCACCTGGAGGGGGGGGAGACTTTGTAGGCATCACTTTGCCTAAGCTATTCGCACCCGTAGTTCCAATTACATTTGGAGAAGCTCTCGCGTTTACAAAGCCATTCCCTGGAAAAGAGAAATATCACTCATTAACAGACACAGCCATTCACGGACTGGGTGTGAGTCTGAAGCAAGCTTCCCCAGTTCTGCTTTCAGGCGAGTTCTGTAAGGAAACTCATTAGCAGCTCCCCGTGTACCTTTAATATTTTTAAATAAGCAGAAGAAGTTGGCCCAAGTGTGAAATAGATACTAACGCTTAAGCTCAATGTACTACTGTATCTCACAAACTAGAACATTTGGAATATTTTTACAAAATATTCCAAAAATGTACATGGAACCACGAAAGACCACAGCAATCCAGAGAAAGAAAACAAAGGCAGAGGTGTCTCGCTACCTGGCATCGAACTACGATACAAAGCTATAGGAATCCAAACAGCATGGCACTGGTGTAACACCTGACATGTGGGCAAATGGGATAGGAGAGACCCCCCCCCAAAAAAAACAACAACAACAAAAAAAAACACTGCGTCTATGTGGTCAAACATAGCAAAGGAGGCAAGCACACACAATGGAGTGAAGACAGTCCATTTAGGAAAAGCTGCTCCCTCGGCCCCCTTCCCTCCTTATCAGCAGAGGCCCGTGGGGGAGGGAGAGGGGCATTCCCTTCAATGTACCCACAGGACCCACTCACCGACGGGGCTGCTCCCAGCTCCATTGGGCACCGTGAGGTCCGCCGAGCTCAGCATCCCACCTGCAGGGGGAGCGGGGACAGAGAGGAGGAGCTGGCACCATGTCCGCGGAGGAAGGAAGTGCACAGAGTGCCCGCCCTCCACGCCCAGGACCCCAGCCTGGCCTGAACTTGGCACTGACAGGTAATTGTGGGTTAGGTTACTAGCCATCACTGCCGAAACAGTAACTTGTAAGTAAGGGTACAAAATAACCACCGCCACAGTAAAAGCACAAACAACGTAACGTAACGCAGTAATTAATACATGACCGGGCATCTGGGTCAGGCCAGACAGTGCTCGCCGTGACAGTGCTCAGGGGGCGATACAGAGCGGCCGGGACGGCCGTCCCACCTACCCGCACTGCCGGTGCTGGGCGGCCGCTGCGGGGCGCCGGGGGACACGGTCCGGTGCAGCGCGGCCTGCGGCGGCGAGAGCATGCCCGAGTCTGCCAGCGCCGAGCCGGCCGCCACGGCCGGGGACACCAGGGAGCTCCCGGGGCTGGGGTAGGACAGGGCGTTGGGGCTGCTCACGGGGACGGTGACGGACATGGAGAAGTTCTGAGGCGGCAGCGCGGGCTGGAACGAAAGAACAGGAGGAGGAGCTGTTAGCTTCATTCCCATCTACGTCCCGCCGCTCACATCTAGAACTGTTCACATCCATGTTAGACGTATGGACTTTAATATCGGACTAGTTATTAAAAGCAGAAGATGGGGATAGGTCCTTACCAAATATTCACCCCGCAGATGTAAGCTATTTCCTTTAGAATTACATTTAAACAGGAGTATGTCTGACATGGACCTTTGCAATTTCTTATGTATTAATACATATATTCTGAAATAACGCGTACGTTATATATTTCAGACATTCACAGAGATGAAAAAGTCAGCCTAATATTAAAGTCAGACTTAGACATACAGAATGCATCAGTTACCAAGTAAGCATAAGTCATCGCTTTAATGAAACCAGGTTAGTAACATTACACTTCTACCAGGAGATTCCCGTTATAATAAAAAGGGCAAAGTGTGTACAAATACTATAAACTTAATCCACAGAATTTCAGACATTATAAGTAACCCTGGAATGATTTAGTTGACTGACATCCTTAATGGACAAAACTAAAAACAACAAGTTACATATGTAGCACAAAGCAATCCAAGTATAACAAAGGGAAAAATAATCTAAACAATAAAATTAACCACCAATAAGCTGTCTAAATTGTATGATGATCAAATTATAACTATTATCAATGTTATCTTCCTTCCCTCCAAACAGTCCACACCCCTTTAAAATATATTCTATTTCCTCTTTCATTCCTGCACAGGCGTGTTAACCACGATAAACAAATTTTCATAATTTAAAATGAGAGAAGCCCTTACTCCTCAGACTTTTTGAAGTGATTTGCAAAGCAATGAAACTGCTAATTCAGAGTTGGTATATATTCTATTCAGTAGTTCATTCCAGGTAGAAAGTTATATCATTAACAGACACAAAACAATGGACATAAGATTTAAAATTTTTTCAAACGTAAACATATTTACACTTTTTTTTTTTTTTGCAGCTTAATATTACCTGCGGACAGTGATGGTATTAGCACAAAATATCTCCCTGTCTTTCATGAGTGGCTAGTACAGCATAAAACTGGTTTGAAGAACAGCCCAGGATGCGTACTTCAGGGCACAGTATTAAGAGCATTAACTCGGACATGAAGTATCAGCATCAGAACCAATGTGTCCCATAGCCCCACACGGCTCCCAACGCGTTGGGAACACGGCTGGAGGCGTGAGCGTGGACTGTTCTGAATGGCGCCTCACTCTGCCCCGGGTTAGGAGTGCAGCTTCTTAAACAAACAGAACCAGGGCTCGGCTCAGCACCCGCGGGCTCGGCTCAGCTCAGCACCGGAGGCATTGCTGCCAAGTGGTTTGAAGACATTCACAAAGAGCCAACCAGGAAACTGCTAATTCAGAGTTGGAATTAGCAACTATTGGAATTAGCACACAACTCATGTTGTGTGCTGTTACAGCGGCCATACAACATAAGCCAACGTAATTTTGAGCCTCACGAGGGTGGCTCGGTGGTTGAGCATCAACCTGTGAACCAGGACGTCACGGTTCAATTCCCAGTCTGGGCACATGCCTGGGTTGTAGGCTCGATCCCCAGTAGGGGGCGTGTAAGAGGCAGCCGATCAATGATTATCATTGATGTTTCTCTCTCTCTCCCTCTCCCTTCCTCTCTGAAATCAATAAAAATGTATTTTAATAATAATTTTAAAACACCACATTTTATAATAAAGCTAACCATAGTCTCCATAGTCTCAAGATCTATTTAAAGTGCATGAGATATTTTTTAAGTCATAGGAAGGAGGGGGCAGTCATACGCACCCTACAGTTAAAATCGCTGAAGTTTAGAGCTGACGAGACCTTAAACATCACGTGAGGCAACTCACTCTCTTTACAGAGAAGGAAACGAATCCAGGATGGGGTGAGTGCTCTATCCCAGTGGTCGGCAAACTGCGGCTCATGAGCCACAGGCGGCTCTTTGGCCCTTTGAGTGTGGCTCTTCCACAAAACACCACAGCCTGGGCGAGTCTATTTTGAAGAAGCGGCGTTAGGAGAAGTTTAAAAAAATTTGGCTCTTAAAAGAAATCTCAATCATTGTGCCACTGATATTTGGCTCTGTTGGCTAATGAGTTTGCTGACCACAGTAGGAAGCGAGCCTGTATTAGAATGTTCCTCTCGTGTCTATGTTTAAGGCACTGAGCATGTCTGATAAGATCTCAGCAATTTCGACCTAAAGTTCTATTAAATAGAATAAACTATGCTTTTTTTCCCCTCCTCCTCCTCATCACTGCCGTCACTGAAAACAAGCAAGGCGTGTGGTCAGTCTCCATGCACAAGTCAAAAGCACAAACCAGACGTCAGTACTCACTGCGATCTTATGATTCCGCATCATATTATCAAACTCCTCATTAATTTTTTTATACTTCTCCTCTGTATGTGGCGTTAGCACATAGGCAGTATCGGGGTCTGGGCTGTCGCACCCTCGGTGCTCCTTCTTGTTGAGCGCCTAAACGGTGAAGTTAACAAACAGGATCAACACATCACAAGTAGAGGTGAGGCGGGCGTACTTACAGGGCCTCGCTTGAAAATAAAATCACTCTCTTCAGTTAGTTTGCTGAATCTGTCCTCCGAGAGTGGACTGTGCTCAAAGTAATCGTCAGCATCAGGGCTCTCACAACCATTAAGGCCTTTCTTTCTTAACGTCTGAAATACAATTGGAAAGTTCACACACACAGGGTACTGCCGTGCCACGAGGTTTCCTGCAAAATCCACTAGAGCCACCGGCGTGGTCTCGCGTGATCTCAGGGACGTGGGTCCTCAGTGAGGCGTCAGCATCGGGATGTCCCCTCTACGCCAACAGCAAGGGCCCCGTTTGGGCTCGCCCTTCCCACACTTCCAGGAGAAGAGGATCCAGCGCTCCCTCTCTCTGTGACAGCCTGCCCGAAGGGAGCCTCGCCCGCCGAGGAGGGGCTGATGCGAGAGAACCCAATAGAAAGGCAGCAGGTGCTGCCCTCGGAGTCAGGATGGCGCCTTAAACGTGTCAGCAGCTTCACTTCCTGACTCTGAGCCTGCGAGTGTATCCTAGTCCCGAGCATCCGATCAGCTCTGTATCCCCAAATGTCATTCTTCACCTGCTCTCAAACCATCGTTTTCCTACTTGACTCTGAAGTGTAAAAACTCAAATACAGAATATATGAGAATGCCGTTTCTTCCGATATACAACCAATGTATGCGTGCCCTTACGTTTTTTTAAAGTGTGTGAACATTCTCTCCCTGCCCTTTCCACAGCGCTCGCTGACCATGGCACCCAGCGCTCTGCAGCGGGCCCCGCGCCGGCCTGCGGGCTCCCTCGCCCCGGGGGCTGTGCGTGTGGCCATAAAAGGTCCTGCTGTCGGAACACAGGGGGGGACCCCGCCCCGCCTGCAGCCGCTATCGCAGGGGGTGTCAGCACTCAGACCTCCACAGCCACGGCTGCCGCGGACACACAGCAGGTGCCTGCACATGTCACCACCGCGGGGCCGCGGGCCGATCCGGCCCCCGACGTCCAGGTTCCCCTCATCGCCCATCAGCTTCAGGCCAGACAGCCCCGTCTGGCCGGGCCACTGACAGCATCACTCAGTCCGCGTCTCTGCGGACACCTCGGTTGCCAGAGAAGCAGGCACCGTGCTCCCTGCCCAGCGGCGGGCGCCCCGTGTTCTCGGGGAGCGGGCTCTCCGGGGCCTGTCCTGCAGGGAATGTGAGAGCCCCTATCAGCCCCGCAGATAACACTGATGTGCCTCTGCTGGGAGCCAACGCGCCCTCTTATCGCCGGAGCAGGAGAGCGGCGGAGGCCCAGCTGCCTAAAAAGGCTTTTCTGCCTCCTTATCGCGGCCAGCGCGCCAGAGCGAGTGGAATGCTGTGATCTCAGCGGGCGCGGGAGAGACGGGCCAGCCTCGGCTCACAGCTGCACAGGAGCCGCCACCGGGGAGCTCCGAGCCGGGCCTGACCCACTGCGGCTTTGCCTACTGCCTGGGAGACCAGAATGTTCCTCAGGGCGTGCTCAATTCCGTAATAACTGTCCGATCCCACCCCACACTAAGGGAGCACAGCACTCAGGTAGAGCGAGGGGCCGGAAAGCACTCCGGTGCGGCCTGCCTGCGCTCTCACCCCCAGCTGCTCCATGCTCTCGCCACCCACCCCTCACTTTGCATCGCATGATCCCTGGGGACCGGTGGGACGGGTCAGACGGAGCACAAGTACAAGGGAGCACATGTAACATAACAAAATAAGGTCTTAAGTTGCAAGGAACTTGGACCACTAGGATTTGTCAAATAAGAAAAGCTCTCCTTTCCCCCATTTTTATTAATTGTTCCCAATATTGACTCTTCTTGTATTTCCTAGACAAGTTGAAAATACAGAAACATTTAATTTCTTTCATTGTGAAGCATACATAAAGGAAAGTGTATCAAGCCTGGAGGGCATGGCTTGGTGGTTGAGCATCGACCCGTGAACCAGGGTCATGGTTCAATTTCCTGGTCAGGGCACATGTCTGGGTTGCAGGCTCAATCCCCAATAGGGGGCGTGCAGGAGGCAGCCCGTCAGTGATTTCAGAGAGAGGAAGGGAGAGGAGAAAGAGAGAAACATCTATGACCCCCCTACTGGGGATCAAGCCCAAAACCTGGTCATGTGCCTTGACCAGGGATTGAGCCGTGACCTCATGGTTCACGGGTCGACGAGCCACGCCGGCCGGACCATATGTTCATCCTGGCAGCTAGTCTACACATCTGCACACACGTCTCTAAGAATGTGAGTGAAGCTGTTCACTGAACGTTACCCTTCAGTCCTACCGGATGGTGCCAAACTGGTTTTCGGCGGCTGTTTGAGCGAACTCTCCCACCTGCGCCGAGGCCTGGCTGTGCGTCCCTCCGGTGACTGAGAACACCCAGCGCAGCCCTATCTCCTGGCCATTTGGGTTTTCTCCTGTGAAGTGCCTGTCAAGCACTCTGCCAAGTTTTCTCCCGAGCTGTTTCTCCTCCTTATTGCTTTCCCCTCTGACATCAATAAAAACATTCTTTTAAAAACTGAAAGGTGGATAAGTGAGTGTCGTGTCTGTCTCACTATGTTCATCCCGCAATATTCCAACACCAATAGCTATAGTATGTATTTAGCATGATGCTCCCAGACAACGGACCAGGTCTAACTCCACAGGCACAACACGTGTCCTCACGCTGCAGACATGCAGGCTGCTAACAACACAGGACACCCCCCCCCACTCGTCACAGAGGGTCCCCAAAGTGGGACACAACGGACACACATCTGCGGCTGACTCCACCTTACTGTTCGGCACTCTGCCGAGGGACATTCAGGTGAAACCCTGCCGACTGGAGAGACTGACAAATACGCCACCCCAAGTCGGGGCACACGCCTGGCTTACAGGCACCACCTCTGTGGGGTGTGCGGGAGGCAGCTGCCCCATGATTCTCTCACCACTGACGTTTCTCTCTCTCCCCCTCTCCCTTCCTCTCTGACATCAACAGAATTATGTTTTAAGAGAGACCCGGCTCAGAGAGGAGCGGAGTCTGTGACGGCGCTGTCTGGGGGACGGAGAAGAGCGGGGGCGGCCCTTACCTCGACGATGTCGGAGTTGGTGCGGCTCTCGTGCGGCTCGTTGTACTCCGTGTACTTGAGCAGCACCTTGTCCATGTCCGTGCTGGCGTACTGGAACAGCTTGTTGGAGCTGTTGAAGATGATGAGCGCGATCTCGCAGTCGCACAGCACGCTGAGCTCGTAGGCCTTCTTCATCAGCCCGAACTTCCTCTTCGTGAAGGTGACCTAACGAGCAGGGGAGAGGCCTTTTAGGAAAAGCGTCAGTCGCCCTGCCGGGGCGGCTCCACCCAGGAACCGGGAGGTCACAGGCCTGGGGTGCGGGCCTCATCCCCAGTGGGGGCGTGCAGGAGGCAGCCGATCCATGATGTTTTTTCTCTGTCTCTGTCTCTCTTCCTCCCTTCCAGTCTCTCTAAAAATCAGTAAAAATAAAGATAAATGTTGGAATTATCGGGCCAGCAATTCAAAACAGCCATGAAGACCATACTAAGGTTCTCGTGGAAAAAGTAGACAGCATGGAGCAACAGGTAAGCAGAGACGTAGAAATTCTTTTTATTTTATTTTATTTTAATTCTCTTTAAATGCTGCCAGTAAAAAAAAAAAAAAAAAAAACACTAACATAAAGGAATCATCTTTGGTGGGTCCATCAGCAGGATGGAACTAATGAGAAAGAAACCTCTGAGCTTGAGGACATGCCAACAGAAACTGCAAACAGCAGCAGAGAAGAAAGAGAAATCACAGAAGAAATATTTGAATCATAACATTTGAGAATTTCCCCAAATTAATGTTCAGACACCAAACCACAGATCCGGGAGGCTCAAAGAACACCAAACAAGACAAATCCAAACAACAAACAAAAACCCCTCCAAACCCCAAGATGACAGCAAGGCATGTTGTACGTAAACTGTATAAAATCAAAGGTAGAAACATCTTGAAAGAAGCCAGAGGGGGGAAAACACCTTATCACGGGCGTGTAAATGTAAGAACTATATCCAGGTTCTCCTCTGACACCACACGCACACTGATAAGTTTTAAGTGGTGGAGGGCGGGGAGGACCTGCCAGCCTAAATGCTGTATCTTGAGGAATTGTACTTCAAAAGAAATAAAGACCTTCTCAGACAAACAAAAATTGTGGTGCGCAGGGAAAACAGTTTATTGTTGCGGGCACATCCCCAGTAGGGAGTGTGCAGGAGGCAGCTGGTCAATGTTTCTCTCTCATTGAAGTTTCCAGCTCTCTATCCCTTTCCCTTCCTCTCTGTAAAAAAAAAAACCAATGAAATATATTCTAAAGGAAAGAAAAAAATATTTACATCTGTTAAATAGGTAAGTGAAGATGTTCATTTACCTGTCGGTTCCTTTCATCCATTATGCGCGTGATTTGTATTTTCTTCCGCCCCATTTTCGGTCACCTTTCCTCCCTTATATTCCAAATATTTAATTCAAAAATTGCTTTTCTTCAACAGCCTAATGCATCATACTCGGCTTCTGTTATTGCAGCTGCTGGTCCACGGGCTGCCGCTGAAATTTTCTTTAAGATCTAAAGAAAAAAAAAAAATACCAATTTGAAAATTTAAGTTCTACAGATTTGCATAATTATGAAAATGCTGCACAAACTTCAAACCTGATTTGCTGCTGCAGGTTGACAGGATTATTAGTTAAAACCAGTAAGTAAGGTGAAGCCCTTCCTCCCAGGCCCAGGCCCAGGCCCTGGTCTGAGCGTGTGCAGGAGGCAACCCATCCATGTGTCTCTCTCACATCGATGTTTCTCTCTGTCTCTCTCTTCCACTCTCCCTAAGAATCAATGGGAAAATATCCTCAGGTGAGAACAAAAAATGAAATAAGTTGAAGCCTTAATCATCTGACCCCTAAAATATCTCTTAAGTCTTTCTGTACCTCTAGCCCTGGCTAAAAGAGTGCAAACTCAACAGAATAAACCCAGCACCTTACTGGGTGGGTGTGGGCCTGTGGACCCCATGTCCATTTTCCTCTGACTCCGAGGATCATTCATAAACAAGGATGTTCTATTCGCTTTATCTCCATAGTGGAACGGCTGGCAATTATATAACTTGTCATGTTGTGAATGACAGCTCTGTCAAAACCTAGTGCTTTCAAAACTTCCGTGATAAAAATATTTTTGAAGTGATGGGAGACAAATACTATAATTCAGGCAAAATTAATACAGTAAAAATATCAGTGTAAACTGAACTCTCAGATAACTGAATTCTTTTTGTAGTAAGTCATTTAAAAAAAAAAAAATCAGGAACTAGAGTTTAAGAAAGATTCCCAACATGGGTTCTGTTGTCTTAATTTTCGAGATACCAGAATCTAGCGCTCAAATTCAGACCAAGTCATTTTAATACTGATTACAGATGTTCAGTCTTTTACAATCAACTTTGTTTACTGTGGCTTAAGCACATAAATATTTTAAGAGCATGGACTTTAAACAAAAGGTGAACTTTACTTTCAACTTGGCCCTTATTAAATAAACACAACCCATCAGAACACGCCATTTGGATGATTCTAATAATCAACCACCTGTTAAATTTTATCAAAAGCTACTAAAATAAAACTACTTTCTAATAAAGTAACCATGGACAATCAACAACTGGATGCTTTTAACAACCCAATAGGCATCTATCGTGAGAAAATCTATAAGGATTCATTCCTTCTTTAAAAGAGAGGAACTTAACACATCGCGGACAGACACCAGAATTCTCACGTCCTATTACACAGTGTTTTACAAAGACTTTTTCCTAACCAAATGACTAAAAAAAAAAAAAAAAAAAAAAAAAGCATTTGAAAGTCTTCCAAGCAGTCCAAATGAACAAAAAATTTACATACGGGGTACAGAATAACATCAGACTTTCTGTCAAAAACTAAGCAAGCGGACATAAGAGGAGAGACAGACACACAGAGAAAGCAATAAAACGAACGAACGAACAAACAAACAAAACTATGTGAGCTATTTCAGAAACTATTTCACAACATATTACCAGAAATAAAGAGGGGCCATTTCAAGACAGTGGACCCAATTCATCAAGAAGACATTAAAAAACAAAACAAAAAAAACAACAACACTGAATTTGCATGCACCTCATTACAGAGCTTCAAATTCCATGAGCCAAGAAGGGAAAGGAGGAACAGCCCAGCCCACAATCAATGCTGAAGAGTCCATACTGCTCTCTCAGCAGGTGGTGGAATAATAGGAAATCAGAAGGGGTAAGTCTTTAAACGCATTATCCATCAGTGTGACCGAATTAAAATTTCAGAAAGCTCCACTCAACAAGTGCAGAACGTTTAGTGCACACCAAACAGTCACCAACACAGACAACATCCTGCACCTATAACAAATACACAAAGTGTGTTCTCGGACTGCAACACAATTAAATTAGAAGCCTCAAGAGAAAAATACCCGTAAGAGGTCAACTCCTCCCAAACTGGCCTGTCGGATAAAAGTGTTCATAATCAAAATGCGAGCAGGCATTTTTGTAGACCGACAGCTGATTCTAAAACACACCAAGAGAAATGGAAAGAACCTAGACTAGAAAAACTCAGGAGTAGAACAAGATTGGAGGGTTTACACCAGCTGCTTTTAAGACTCACCATAAAGCTACAGTATAATCAAGACAGTACAGCGTCGCCATTAAGGACAGATTTATAGAATAATAAAAACAGAATAGGGAGTCCTGAAATACACCCACATAAAATGGTCAATTGCTTTTCAACAAAGATGCCAACCTAAGTCAATAGGAGACTATATTAGCTTCTCAAATATGTTACATTTGCAAAAATAAATAAATAAATTTCATCCCTTACCTCACACCATATAAAAAATTAATTCCAAGTGGATCACAGACCTAAAACAGAAGCCCAAAGCAGTCTAAAACATGACAGAAAAGAAAAAAGGTTAGAAAAATTTTTGCCCAATCTCTGTGCCAACTCCTCCAATTTCTACTCCAAATTAGGGCAGAGTTAGAGGGGGGAATCTCTCATCGGAAGCTTTGAGTCAACACACGAAACTATTCAAAAGGAAAGAGCATTTCCCATCAAAGTCCTCAGAGCAGCTCCTAAGCAGGTAGTGATGAACTCCCGCCTAACCCTCAGAGCCACGGAGAGCGTGCCATGGAGAATAAGACACTGGGACTTCCTGGAGCTCCGTCAGGGAAGGAAGTCTAGTGACTTCCTAAGGCTTACACATGGCCCGGGACAGAACAGCTGCACCGTGTGCAGAGTCCTCACCTCGGCTCAGAAAAGGGTCCGAGTGCTGAGCAATGGACGTGAGAATGGCCCAGAGCTACCTCCCGTCATTCCGTTCTGAGCAGCCAGTGGACAAAAGGGACTTGGGAGAAACGTCAGTAAGAAAATGAACGTTCAGAGAGTCACGCACGACCAAGGATTCTATTTTACAGTGTGAATGAAGCGTCAGTGCCCCCATCCCGCCTGGACATATCTAAGTTTTAGTCTTGCTTCGACTGAAAAGCAAATGCCTGTTCTCCGAGTTGCCTGAATTGGCAGATATAAAAATACACTTTCTTCCAATAGCAATAAAGCAACAAGAAACTGATATCAGAATGCATTATTCTAACAAGGAACTCATTCTCTAAATTTTTAAAAGTACTAACATATAATTATTCAAGGGAAAAATTAGACCTTTATGTTAAATAGTGGAACTATTCTTACAATGACAAGAACAACAAAAAGTCTTAAGTACCTTTCCCAAGTTTTTATTGACATAACTAGGCATAATCAATAGATCTAATGTTTAAAATGTTAATGCTAACTTATTATCACATACCAGAAATATCCCCTGCTAACATTTCCCAACATTCCATTCTTTTTAAATAGTCTAGTATCAATGTACTTTTATTCCCATTAAAAACAAAACATAGACCTCAGATGAGGTTCATTCATGAAAACTTCTGAGAAAGACTACACATCTTACTGACTTATTGGGACCATTAACCTGGACCAATAAAGTTTTAAAATCCAAGTAGAGTACTCCAGGGCTTTGCAATTATGGGCCTATGATTTAAGGCAATAAATTCAAAGTCACAACAAAAGCCCCGATTTTCAAGGATCTCCTTGAAATTAGCTTAACTTTTTTCATTGACCCTACCCATCTTTCCTGCTATTTGAAAACTCCTTCCTCAGCTCATGTAATTCTCCTCACACCCTCCCACCCTCCTAATTCTTGTCACAATAAATACAGACTACCTACTGTAGATCTTTTTCTTCTTTTAAAAAAAAAAAAAAAAAGCAAACAAGAATGGAGGTGGCAATGATGAAAAAATCTGGGGTTATCTGAACAGTGTCAGATAAACTATCACTATATGCTAATATGCACTTCAATTGGCCTCTATAAATCCTTAATTCATCTATATTAATCCCCAAGGCAAACTCCAAAATGACTGCCATTCAAACTCACAAGACAGTCTGAATGGATCATATTTAACTCCCAAAGTTAGATGTTTAAACAAAGCATTTCCATGGCACTCATTTATGAAAAGTGTCTTACGGGAAATGACGTATCAACAGAAAGTGCACTTAGATAGGATCCTTGAAGATACTTCTTCTTTGTTACTTTTTCACAAAATGCCACTCCTTGATAAAGAAAAAAATATGAGATGGGTTAGTAATTGTTCTTAACTCTGACAGAGAATTAAATATATTTCATTATTACAAATTTTAACGATATGCCTGGCAGGTAGCTCCACAAATACTTGCTGAAAATAGAAAATAGAAAAATAAATGTTTACAAGTCAACTGTTTTATTTGACTAAAAAATATTTTAGGCAAATATTACATTTGCAAAAAAATAAACCTCATCCCTTACCTCATACCATATAAAAAAATTAACACAAAATGGGTCACAGACCTAAAACAGATGCCTAAAGCTTGTCTAATGTCATGAATCCATTTTTTCAGGAAGTATTACTGAAATGTTCATTAACATTGTATGCACTCCAAGATTTACCAAGCGGGCTCCCTGAGCTCCATTTTCCTACTAGTATATCACATGATAATGTTGTATATCTATCTGGTACACACAGTCTACTGAATTTATGGTTGGATAAAATAGTTGGAAATGTTCACTATACTGCATACTCATTCAGAAAGACAGCTGTCCGTGCGTGATTTCTATTGCCAGAATACATGTTTGTATTCAGATACAATATGTATACTTGTCGCTTTCACTATCTTCTAAAGGGAACAAAAATGAAGACGGCCATACAATGCCAAAAATGAATATCAAACTGATCAATGTCAATAATTCACGTTAACAAAGGAACACTGGGAATACTAACCAATGAATTAGTACATAAAGAATAATCCATCCTGCTACATTTGCGCTTGGAAATAGCAGCAAGAAAAGGGGAAGATGGTAAAAACCACGCCTCT